GGATAGTGAGTACCGGCTCCTCCCAACGCGTCCCCCAAGACGAGGAGGAGGGAGGGATGAAGGAGGGAAGAGGAATGAGGGAGGGGGCGAGGAGGGAAGGGAGGGAGCAGGGACGAAGGATGATGATGATGAGGAGAGCCCTCCCACTCCCTCCCCCCTCTGCCCTCCAAGAGGAGACAGGAGCAGGGAAGGGGGGGAGGGGAGAGAGAGAGAGAAGAGGCATAGTTGGAGGAGGGCAGAGAGATGAGGAAAGAGATGCGAGGGACGAGGGAGGGGTGAGGCGGGGAGGAAATCAGAGGAGGAGGAGGAGGATCTCCCTCATCAACCTCACCCACATTTCACCCTCCTCGCCGGTTCGGTTGGCAAGTAATTAGGCCTTCCACAGTGAATTTGTGCGGTGCATAGCTTCTGGCACGTCATGGCCACTTCAGACGTGGAGCTCTGGTGTTGGATCGATCAGCTCTGACCTTCGCCCACGCTGCATCATGATTTTTTATTGGGAGTCTCTCATCTCTCATGAGGCCGCGACCGTCACACCGACGTGCTTCGTTCGCTATGTTGTGTGGTGAAAAAGACTTCTGATGGCGCTGGACCCAAAGAGATGCGATCGGAGGTTCCCGCATACAAGGTTGTCAGCGTTGCGCGGGCTCAGGGGGAGCAAACACGCAGAAAGGACATGGAAGGACTATCACAGTGAGATATTCCATGCCGGGGCCTCGTCTTCATGACTTCTCCCTGTCAATTCTCTCCGTGTGTCACAGAACTGTCATCCTCATGCTGCATCTCAATGCAGCCTGCATCTGGAACATGTTACCCCTCGTCCAGACGCCCCACGTCATCATGTTCCTCGCCCTTTCCGTCCTCTTCCTCGTACGTCTCGCTTCTCCTATGTATCCTGGCCCTCCTGACGCACATCGTCATCCGCTCGGTCACTCGTGCAGGCCATCTTTCCTCACACCCCCTCGTGCTCGTCACAATGTTTGATGAATGCGGGCGTGTCCGATCAACCTGACAAAGATCAGCATGTACGGACCCTTGTCGATTCAGATGGATTCAGTGGATCCCCATGGATTCCAAAGGGCGTCATCTGGATTTGGGGGAGAAGCAAGTTCGTTACACAAGAGGTTAGCCAGCGTGGACCCCAAACAACGTGTTTATGTCAGTAAAGGTGGTTCAACATATGTGGGGCAATCTATGTGAAGCAAAGAACGTGGTGCAATACATGTTGTGCAATGTACAATGTGCAACACATGGTGTGCAACGTATGCTGTGTAATCTAAGTGGTGCAATATTCGTGATGCTATATTTGTGGTGCTCTGTATGTGGTGCAACATAGGTGGTGCAATATGTGTGGTGCATTCTATGTTATGCACCCCATGCTGTGCAATGTGTATGTGTGTATATATATATATATGTGTGTGAGTGTGTGTGTGTGTGTTGAAATTCGTGTTGTGCAATGCACGTAGTGGAGTCCAGGTGGTTCAATCCATGTGGTACACTTTCGGCTGTGCAACCTTTACTGCGCAGCGTATGCGTTGCAATCCATGTGGTGATGTATTAGTGGTGCTGTATAGTTGGTGCAACCTTTGGTGTGAAGGTTATGTGGAGCAAACTGTGTGGTGCAGGCAATCAATGTGGTGCACCGTATGTGGTACAATATGAGCTCTATATGGGTGGTGCAATGTGTATATATGTATGTACATATATTTAAACGGTGCGACCGATGCTGTACCGCTTATGTTTACAAACTATGTTGAAGTGTCGCGCCTAGGGGCCATCACACCATCGACGATACTTATATTTTGCCAGGCGCATGGCCGCGTTGAACCATCCGTGGTTGTGATTGTGCTGCCAGGTGCCCTCTTTCTCTTCACAGTTAATCGCACGCCGCGTTGCGGGCTGACGTTCTCTGCGTGTCTCTCTCTCTCTCTCTCTCTCTCTCTCTTTCCCTATCATTACCTCTCCCTCCCTCTCTTCCTGTCCTTCCCCCACTCCTGGTTGCCGGTGTGTGGATCCTTTGACTGACTGCTGGGGCCACAGGGATCCCACGCGAAACACCTGTGGATGTCTTCGTGGTCCTCGTTGTCGGGGTCCCGGATTCTGCTTCGCGCGGCCACGGCGGCACGCACCGCGAGGCGAACCCAGGGGGCATCTTGCCTGCATCGCGGCGGCGGCGGTGGTGGTGGCTGTGGTGCTGATCTTCCGTCGGGGGCGGAAAGGAGGGGGGTGATGACTAGGGGGAGGGTGGATATCATGGCGGGGGCCATGATATGTCCCAGATTTCATGGCGCCTCTTCTTATTTCATTACGTTCCTGGCCCTCCCGCTGGGCCGCGCACATGCCGGTCATGATTTGCACCCCCCCCTCTTTGACGCCCTCCTCTTTGCCGCTCCCGATTCTGTCATGGTGGAGCCTCCTTCCCAGCAGCTGGGGGGCTGGCGGTCTTCATCGCCGTCCTGTGATCAGTGAGGGGGAAAGTGTGCGGTCTCTGGTGTGCAGTACCTATGTGGAAGAGTCTAGGTTGCGCAATCTATGTGGTGCAATTAATTTCTGTTCGCAGTGAGTTGTCCACTCCACTGCTCGCGCAAACATCCCACCCACCCACCCGCAACTTGGTTTGCAAAATCTCTTAAGACCGTGACGGTGGGTACCACATGGCACTTGGCAACAACAGCGACGCCGACGACGACAGCGACAACGACGATGACGACGCAGCCGACAACGACTACGACGACACCGACGACGTCTCCAACGACTTCGACGACGCCGACAACGACGACGACGACGACGACGACGACGACACCGACGCCGCCGACGACGACGACGACGACGACGACGACGATGACGACGACGACGACGTCGAACGACGCCGACGACGACGACGACGACGACGACGGCGACGACGACGACGACGACGGCGACGACGACGACGCCGACGTCGACGACGACGAAGACGACAACGACGCCGACGCCGACGACGACGAAGACGACGACGACGTCGCCAACGAAGACAACGAGGAAGGAGGGAGGACGACGACGGCGACAACGACGACAACGACGAGGGAGGAGGGGGACGGCGACGACGCGAACGACGAAGAAGGGGGAAGGACGGCGACGCCGACGACGGCAACGATGAGGGAGGAGGGAAGACGACGACGACGACGACGACGACGACGACGACGACGACGACGACGACGACGAAATAGGAGGGACGACGACGAGACGCCGACGACGGACGACGACGAGGGGGAGAGGAGGAAGGACGACCACGGCGACAACGACGACGGAAACGACCACGACGCCAAAGAGGACGACGACGACGAACACGAGGAAAGACAGAGGACGACGTAGGCGACGACGACGACGACGACAACGACGCGGGAGGAGGAAGACGACGACGACGACGACGACGACGACCGCGCAAGAGCGCGCGCGCACGCTTTTGTTAAACATCCGTGTTGCGAAATCTTGTGGTTTGGAACTTTTTTTAGACACGATTTTGACATCCTTCCGAAACCGATGGGTTTTGAAGGTTTTCGGCATACGCGCGCGACGACGCGCGCGTCTGCACTTCGTCCCGTTTTTTGCAGGGGATTCTCGCGACGGCACACGCGCAAGGGCGTTCGACAGATTTCGACGTGAGCGCGCGCGAAGCCCGTTTGGTAGCATTTTGTGAAAATCTTGAAAAACGCATGGTTTTCTTAAGATTTCGCAGGAGTTTTCGCGGAAGTTTTTTGTCGCAGCTCTGTGTTTGCGAAACCCTGTGTTGTTTTTGTATGTGTTTTGGAAACTCGATTGCGAAATCCTTCCCGCACCGAAGGTTTTTGAAGGATTTCGGCATGCGCGCGCGACGACGCGCGCGTGCGCACTTCGTCCCATTTTCTGCAAGGGATTCGCGAAAAAGTGCGATGTAAGAACAACAAATGTCACTGCATAGTGCTTTTTACAAGGGAACCTCAAGGGGGGAAACCGGTTTGGCTGGGATGGTATGATTTCATATTTAGGATGGACGAGTGTGCAGAATACACACATACATATATATATATATATATATATATATGTGAAATCATATTATCCCAGGGGGAGCCGATAAGTCGGGGGGGGTAGAGTCTATTTTTTTAGAAAGGAGAATCTATCTTGTGCAATCTGTGTGGAGTAACCTATGCGGCGGCGGCGAGGCGGAGATGGGGTGGCGCCGGGGGCGGCGACGGGGCGTCGACGGGGGCGGCGACGAGACGGCAACGGGGCGGCGACGGGGCGGCGACGGCGGCAACATAGTCGCTGGACTGCCAGGCACGCCCAGACGACGGACGGCGACGGGCAGCGACAGGGCGGCGACGGGGACGGCGACGAGGCGGCCACGGGGTTGAGAGGGGGCGGCGACGGCACACATGCGCTGGACCGCCAGACAGGCCAGTGCCTTCGAAAAGAAATGCGAAGCCCTAAGTGCAAACACTGTTCGGGGATTTTCGTTCGACTTCTGTGCTGTCGGCTCCTATCAAGTCCGTTCGGTCCTCATGGGCCAATGGGTATTAATTCGTTGGAAGAAAGGTGGTGCTGACGGATCAAATTTGAAACGCCATGTTGACAGTTCCAATTATGTTCACCTGGTGCACTACATGTTGCTCGCCATGCTGAGGTACAGAGACTGCGTGGTAATGTGTCTTCAGGCCTCAGCGGCTATGTGAATGTCAGTACGACATCTCCTGACACAGCCGCATCATGAAAATCCGAATGCATTATGTTATAGATTTTTTATGTGTATATATATATATATATAGGTGTGGGTGTGTGCGTGCCTGTGTGAACGAATGGTGTATATGTGTACGTTTGTTTGTGTCAGTGTCGGCAGACTTGCCCGTGTCCGTGTGCATGTGTTTACGTTTGCGCCCGTGTCTTTGTATTTGTGTTTAGATTAGCGAGTTGAATACATGTGTTGATTCTTGTTATTGTACAGGGTTTCCCATACACCCTGTATGAGGAAATCGCGATCTGCATCCCAACCACTCCCTTCTCGTCCTCTTTCTCTCCAATGCTAGTTTGCGCCCAAGGGAATCGTTTATCACAACAATACGCTGACTCCGCGTATGAGCGCGGACGTCTCATGTAGACAAGTTCCTTCGGCACCTGGAGTCTGCCCTGCAGAAGAAGTCATCATCCCTTGGGCAGATTGGTTCCCTGCGTTCCTGCTCTGGCCAGCGGTGGTGCAGGCCGCGCTTGTCGCGGTTTTCTGGGCGTTGTCCAAGAATTTTCGTTGGGCTGTGAGACGGTGCAGGCCGTTTCGACGCTTTCTAAAGACGTGGGTAGGCACGCCCGATTACGCAGCCAAGCGCTACCGATGGTTGATTGGCGCGCTTGTCATCGAGATGATGGCTTCGTCGATGTCTGTGTCGGTATGGTTTTCCACTGTCTACAAAAGGCAGACGTCTGTGGAGGAGCGAAATCTCTTGGTCGTCGCCTCACTCGTTAGTTTGGTGAATTGGGTCACGGGTAGTCTCCAAAACGAGTGCTCTGTGGAGAGCCTGTTGCGCGCAGGCAACATTGTCAACACTTTCACAATTGTTCCAATGTTATCCGGCTATTTCAAGCAAGATGCCGGTGGGCATGAATGGGCATCGTTGCAGTTCTTGCGCGCGTACAACGTGGTGCATGCATTCCGGCGGATTCAAAGATTGTCGTTGGAATTGCAGCAAAAGAAGATGTTCTTCATGGTCACGGTGGTTGTTCTGAGAGTCGTCGCTTTGGTTGTGATTTTGGCAGGGGTTATATTCACAGTGGAGATATTAGGAGATCCGCCTGGCTTGAGAGATGCCTTCGTCGCTTCGCAGGGCGGCGACAGCATATCTGCGTTTCAAATGTTTTACTGGACGGTCGTGACGTTGACGACGGTTGGCTTCGGCGATTTCGCGCCGCGAACCACATTATCTCGTTTCCTCACTGTGTTTTTTATTATCACTGGCGTCGTTTATATCGCAGTCGCCCAGTTTAAATTCCAAGAGGCGTTGCTGGAAATTGTCGAGGGGTCTGGTCTCTACCACGGTAAGCATGGCCAGAAACACGTTGTCGTGATACTCTGTTCGAAAAAGCGAGCCATGTCATTCAGGTCATTGGTTGCTGGTTTCTTGCGCGAGATCCTACACAGCAACTCGCAAGCAGAATGGCCCAATGTGGTGATCTTCTCTCGTCACCCATGGGACGACGACACAGGCAAGGCGAAACGAAAAGGACAGAAAGGGCAGGTGGCTACGTTCGCAGAGTTCCTCGTGGAGGAAGGCTTTGCAATCGCGATGCGCGAGCGCGTGACCTTCATCGTTGGCAGCACCAGCTCCCAGGAGGATCTGGACCGCGCAGGGGTCGGCCTCAGCGAGATGACGTTCCTCCTGTCCGACGTGAACAGCACCAGTCCGAGCCAGGACGACGAGGACAGCATCTACTCTGCTGTCACCATCAAAGATTTTTACCCATCGGTGCGTCTGCGCATGATGCTGTTGAAGCCGCAGTCGAAGGAGCTCGCGGTGCAGTCGGGTATCGAGATCGTGAGGTGCTTCTCGCTTCGAGAGTTGAAGGCGGGGATGTTGGCCCAGAACGTTCGGTGTCACGGGATCGTACCCGTACTCACGTCCATGTTGAAGTCGGTGGACGATGACAAAGTTCCGTCGAGGCACAAGAAGGCGAACGCAGAGGGGCGCCGCACGACCTGTGTGCCCCCCCACGCGCCGCTGGAGCACAATCACTCGGACATGCAAGATGCCTCTTCGCATCGTGCTTTTACCCCCTTCTCGGATAGACCTTCTGCGCAAACGGGGGACGGGGACGAGCCAGAGTGGTTGAAGGAGTACAAGAGCGGAGTCCAGCGGAGCCTCTACGGCTTCGAGCTCGATAAGGAGTACGCGGGTTGTTCTTTCGCGGAGCTCGCGAGCCGTATATTCCAGGACACGGGGGCTGTGGTCATAGCTTGCTTCATCAACAGCAAGTTGGTCGTCTGCAAACAGGATGGCGACATCGTCCAGCCTGGCACCATCATGTTTGCTGTTGCTTCGAGCCCGAAGGCGCTGGACCCGTGCCGAAAGGCAGGGGCGACCCGCGACCATTGGCGGCAGAGCTTGTTCAGCACGAGGGAGGCCAACTTGAGGAGTCTCTACAAGGAGGGGCCCCGCGTCGCTGCCGCGCAGTTCATGGGTCATGACCTCAGGGGCCCCGTCTTGATGCCTGAGGCCATGCTGGATCTCGACGATGATCGTGTCGTCAAACGACAGAGCTTGGAGAGCAGTGCCGGCACCATCGATTGTGGCAGCGAGGAAGGCAGCGACGAGGGGGACTCGCCGCTCTCGCCGCCCTCGCCGCCCTCGCCGACGCGGCTCCGGCGGCGCGCCAGCCTGCAGAGCATGCCCGAGGAGCCGCAGGACCGGCGGACCCCCATGCGGAGCTCGGCCCACCAGCGCCAGGCCGCGGCGCCCTTGGCCTCGCTCCCGGCCACCACGCCACCGTCCGCGCCCGCCTCGCCGTGGCGCGCCAGGGACCGCAGGGTGACCGAGGCCGGCGCCTTCCTGCACGGCGAGCCCAGGCCCAGCCCGCCCCACAACCGCCAGCCCTCCGCGGCCCTGGCAACGGAGGCCGACTCCCCCAGCGAGCGCGCGGCGAGGGCCACCGAGGAGGTGGACCACCGCGAGACGGCCGCGTGCTGCTTCGAGCCGGCTCGCAGGGGAGGTGCGGCGGCGCCCGCCGCGCTCCGCGCCGGCGGCCCCGGCCCCCAAGACTCGGGCCGCCGGGGCCGTGTTCCAGCCGAGGCCGCCTACAGGTTTTCCTCGGAGACCTCCGAGGCGCGGGGAAGGAAAGCGTAACGATACTCCCAGACCCCCGACGTCATGATTTTTTCATGACGTCGACCCCCCGAGGTCTCGACCCATTCCCCGGGACCGGTTTTTCGTCCTGAGTCGTTTTTTGACGGTCCCGAGGGCCGGTAAGGGCCCCCAAAGGCCAAAAATAATGAAAAACCTCCCGTCGTGAATTTTTCATAACTCGGGGGGGTCTGGGCTCCGCGCTCCGCGTGGCCCTCTCCCGCCCCGCCCCTCGCCTGCCTGCGCCCTCGTGCCTCGAGGCGGAGCGGAGGCGCCCCGCCGTGCTCTTGACCGCTTCTTGGGCCGAACTCGCCGCAGACCAGACATACTTCAGGAGGGAAAGAAACACACAGACACAATGAATCGCCCATTCCCCAGAAAATATGGGAAAATATGGGAATTGGGCGGGAAGACAAAGACCCAGAAAACATAGGAAAATATAGGGGGATCTGTTTATTTGTGTGTATTTATTTGTGTGTCCTGGGGCCCCTCGAATACTCCGCGTTCCGCGGTCAGCGCAGGGGGGGCGCCCCCCCCCGATGGCAGCACCTCACGCGGACAACCACCGCGCAGCGAGGCCCCTGCAGCCCTTGCCGCGGCGCGCACACGAGGCGAGGTCGATCCCTCGGGAGGGTGGGGTGCCCCCCGAAGCGCGGGTATAGCCAGGACCCTGGGTCAGGGGACCCGGTCAGTGGTAGGGCCCCGGAGCCCCGAAACTGGCCAGAATGCGGGCGACGGCAGTTCCGGTCAGTGGAACGGGGCGTGGGGGGGCGGCGCCCCCCCAGTGCACATCACTAAACCAGGTCCCACTACTTAATGGGGGAACAAAAAGTGGCATAAACATAAAAACTCGGAGGTCCGCGCGGACCTCCGAGCTTCTTTATGCTTGTGCCACTTGTTGTGCCCCCATTATAGTGGGACCTGGCTCAGTGATGTACCCTGGGGGGCGCCGCCCCCCCCCCGCTCCGTTCCACTGACCCGAACTGCCAACGCCCGAGAAGCTCCTCGCGAGGCGCCCAGTGCCGAAGGATTGCAAAAACGAAGGGTTTTTTTGCAATCCTTCGTTTTTGCAATCCTTCGGGTTTTTTTGCAATCCTTCGTTCGGGTTTTTTTGCAATCCTTCGCCCCCGCTCCGTTCCACTGACCCGAACTGCCAACGCCCGAGAAGCTCCTCGCGAGGCGCCCAGTGCCGACGGCCCTGCCCTCGCTCTCGCGCCCTCGGGGCCTCCGCGTGGGCCTCCCCGCCAGGGCCGGGTTCGCCTCGGGAGGCTTGGTCGGGGCGCGCCCCCTGGAGAGAGCCGGCATCGCTCGGCCGTGTGCATAGTTTTCTCGGCGAGAGCCATCGAGGACCATCGGCGAGAACCATCGAGCAACAAAAGCAACATGTTTGATTCGCGGGTCGAGAGCGCACCTCTTCCGGTCGAAGCTAAGCGGGCCGCGCGAAGCTTGAATTAACCGGAGATGGGGGAGGAAAGGGGGGGCGCAGCCTCAGAACGAAGCGGGAAGGAGGCAAAGCCTCGGAATCAGGCGGTGCCGTAGCCGACGTACTTGCAAAGGAGCGCCTTTTCCGTACTAAGCAACAAAAACAACACGCCGCACGAGACCGACAAATGCACAGGAAATGGACGTCCGAGCGACGGCAAGGGAGAGGTGGGGGGGAGTTGACAGTATCGGGGTGGTTAATGATAGGGGTGGATTTTTGGCCTTCTATAATATCGGCATCCTCGTGCGCCCCCAAAGGTTGGACAGCCCGTGCTAGGCCTGGCGAGCGATCGTTCCGACGAGGTGCTCGCGCACGGCCAGCGCCAGGTTCTAACGTCCGTCGAGGGTTCCAACGAGCGCGGCGAGTTGCTTCATGTTGCCCAGGGCCAGCGCGGCATGCGCGGGTCGGTGCAGTCGATGATCTCGGCAGGTGGAGCGGACCTCTATCCGCAGAGTCGGCCTCGTCCATCTACCCTCGTGATCGACGAGCAGGAGGGGGGTGTCTCCAGACGATTTTCGATGGAGGGCGGAATGAGGCAGTCTGCCAGGCACTCCGTGTCGTCTGCCAGGCACTCGGTGATGTCTCTCGGCTACGACGCCCACGCGCGGGACCCGGCCAGCGACGTGAGGCAGAGGGTCCTGGAGATGCGGCGGGCCGTGCGGGAGGCGGGCGAGGCCCCCGACCTCGTGGTGGTGGTCGTGTGCCACGGAGAGGCGTGGCAGCAGGTCCACACCTTCGTGAGCGCACTGCGGGCCACGTACCATCGAAGGGCCAAACGCTGCAGAAAAGCCTCGCTTCTCGGAGGCCGCGCGCACTTCTTCGATTGGGGGCGCTCTGGGCCCTCCTGCGCGGTGCCTCGGGCTCCGCCGCCTTGCGCCCTCCGCGCGCCAGGCAAGGGGGCCCAGCACCGATCCAAGAACTCCGCGCGGACGTCCGAGGCATCGTGCTCATGCAGCTTTTTGCCCCTCCACAGCCCGTCCACAGCCCCATCATCATCCTCACGCCGATGCCGCCGCCGCCCCTGCTCTTCGAGGATGCGGCCTCCCTGGACCTCGCGATCCTCGAGGGCAGCTGCACGAAGGTACAGGCACTCCTCGAGGCCGGGATCCTCGAGGCCAGCGCCGTGGTGGTCATGACCGGGGCTACGGAGGAGATCGTGGGCCGAAGCCATGTCCGTGTCCACGGCCTCCCAACCTGGGCCCGTGGGCCGTCACTCTTTGGACACGGGGCGGTGGTTCGCGGATGCCCCGCGTGGGGCGTATCCATGCGGCCGCGCATCCACGGGAGCGCACTCCGGAATCCAGGCAGGGATTGGGCGTGGGGACGGATGTGCTCGCCGTTCGTGAGGAGTGGCACGTCGGGGAGAATTTGTACAGGGATTCGAAGGTGGTGCTCTGCGCACAAGTCCTTGAGTGTTGGTGCGGCGTCTCGGAGCGCGAGGTCTTCACGACCTACGAGCTGCAAGACAGCACATCTGTGCGGGTCTTGCCGAAGCTCATGCCGAAGGTGGCGGTCGACTTCGACAGGCTCGTCCTGCCTTCGAGCACCTTTTCGGATGGTCACCTCTCACCCATGAAAGGCTCGACGGACAGCGTTCTTGCCATGCAGGCCATGGCCGAGCAGGAAATGGTCGCATACTCTGAGAGGCCACCCGAGGTCGACCATGAAGACTCCAGTTTCCAGGACTACGGCACCTCGGCGATCTTCCACCCAAGATTCGCGGCCGGGCAGATATTCACTCCGGAGCTCTGGGGCGCCATGCTGGGGAGGATCTACTACATGCCTGCGATCATCGAGCTCATCGAGGCGCTCGCGCTCCCCCACGTGCGCGGCCAGGTGGCCTTCCCGTGGCAGATCCGGGTGCCCCCCTCTTACGTCGATAAGGAGTACTCGACGCTGTTCCTGGACCTGGCCATGGGATACCGGCCGGGAGCGAAGGACATCGATCCCCCGCCTCAGCGTGAGAGCGTCGAGAGCCTGCTCGACAGCTCGGCAGTGGGCGACGTCTACCGCAAAAGGAGGACCACCCTGATGAACGGCGTGAGGCTGAGCAACAAGCCCCGCCCGGCGGTGTGCGTGGCGTTGTACCGCAGGCGCGACGTGGACGCCAGCTGGGACGTGGCCCCCAAGAACCGCGTCATCCGAGACTCCTTCGAGCCGAGCGCCGCGGTAGCGCAGGCCGATGCGTAACAGAGAGCACCGCAGACGTGCAGGCAAGACGCTGAGATTAGGACCACCCTGGGCTCAGGAGGAGCTCGGTTTCCGGGCCGTTCGTTTTTTATGTTTTCTGTACATATAGAATAGTATAAAACATGCGAATATTTCTTTTTGTTTTTTTTATGGTTTGGGAGCCCGTCCGTGGCCGAGGCTCGCCGTGGCCAGAAGGCCCGTGTCATACTTTGCTGTGGAGGCCACGGCCTGCGCCGCCGACCCCGAAGGCGGGACCTCCCCGGGGGCCCCGCTGGCGCCCCCCCCCCCGGCCCGGGACCCGCCTGGACCCCGGGGGGGGGGGGCGCCGCTTTCACGCGGGACCACCCTTCCCTCCCCTGGACCCCCCTCCAGGGCACCCCCCCGCTCGCTGGCCCCCCCCCCCCCTTGCCCGTCCTGTGCACAGGAGTGGCCGGGGAGCGCATCCGAGGGAGAGGGCCGCGGAGACCCCGGTGGTGGGGGGGCGGCAGTCTGACCCCGGACCCCCTCACTAAATCCCCCCCATAATATAGCCCCCCCCCCCTCGACTACTGCAGAAGACGATCAATGGAGAGAAGGAATGTTGCCAAATAGCTTCCAGGTGTCTAAGGCATGTTCAAACACGAATTCAACTTGTAATTCGCCTGGCGAAGGACCCAACCATATGCTGATGTAAGTACCGCACTTGTAAGTGTTGCCATCGGTGGAGCTCCATATGGGGCCACCAAACGTGTGAGGGGTGTGCCGGAATGGCTGCGGCGGGAGCGTACGAGCGCAGCCATTGGGGCCGTCGGTGGAGCTCCCTATGGGGCCACGAAGCGTGTGAGGGGTGGAAACGCGTGAGGGGTGTAACGAAGTGGGCGCGGGACACATGTGAACGCAGCCACTGGGGCATTCGGTGGAGCTCCCTTTGCGGTCACCAACCGTATTAGGGGTGTGCCGAAATCGCTGCAGCGGGAGCATGCGAGCGCAGCCACTGGGGCCTTCGGTGAAGCTCCCTATGGGGCCACGAAGCGTGTGAGGGGTGCGCCGACATTGGTGCGACGGACGCATGTGAACGCAGCCAATGGGGCCTTCGGTGGAGTTCTGTGTGGTGCCACAAACCGTGTGAGGCGTGTGCTTGAAAGGGCGTGGGACGCATGTGAACGCAGCCACTGGGGCCTTCGGTGGAGTTCCCTATGGGGCCACGAACCGTATGAGGGGTGCGCCGGCGTGGTGTACATGCGGAGAGCAGCAGAGGCACGATGCTGACGATGGCGATGGTGATGACGTGGATGATGGCGACGGCGATGGTTATTGTGATGATGTTGATGATGATGATTATGATGATGATGATGATGATGATGATGATGATGATGATGATGATGTTGGTGATGATGATTCTGACGATGGTGATGATGATGCTGCTCATGATGATGATAATGATGATGATGCTCATGATGATGATGGTAAGTATGATCATGATGATGGTGGTGGTGATGATGATGATGATGATGATGATGATGATGATGATGGTAAGTATGATGATGATGATGATGATGATGATGATGATGATGATGATGATGATGATGATGATGATGATGACGATTATTTTTTATTCTGCGCCGTTGGCCCCTTGTACAAGTCTTTACATCTATGTGCGTGTGTGTGTGTGTCATATCCTTCTGGTGGCTGATGGGAGCTCCTGTGAGCCTTGTGCCGAGGAATCGGGACTCAGCACTCTGGTAGACACAACCACGAAACGAGAGGCGGCGTGTGGTGACTTGGACCGAGACGACCAGCGAAGTGCAGGGCGAGGGGGCCGAACCTCAGGCCGACAGTGGCCCGACGGCTGGCCCCGCCGACCGACTCGAGAGTTACGGCCGACTGGAGGAACGAATAGATTGCCTCGTATGTTTCGACATCGAGCGCAACCTATCACTTTTGATCAGAGTGTTCCAGCGGGTGCTTCCCCGCTCGATCCCGAGAGCTGCCAAAAGGGCACTGGGAGTGAGGGGCCCCACAGGGGCTGCCGCGGCATTGGCGGGTTGCGCCGAAGTGCCCTGGGCCCCCATCGCATTCGAAGAAGAGGACGAGGAGGGATCCTCGGCGCCACGGCGAGGCACGTCTCCGAAACAGGTCAGGATGAGTCCCAACAGCCACCTGGGTCCGAGCGGAGGAAGAGGAAAGGCGACTTTTCTCAGGCGAAGCACTCGGCTTCACGGCGGGGCTGCCGACAGGCAGAGCAGCCACGGGAGCGCCCGCGGCGCCGGGCTCACGCCCCCGCTCCAGCACACCTGCGGCAGGTGCACGACTCCGTACGTGCCCCGCCGGAGGCTCACGTACGTGCACCGTTGCTGCAGAGGCTGGCCCACATGCTCCTGCCTTGGCATCGCTCGGACGTGTGCATGTTTCCTTCGGCGAGGACCATCGAGGAGCATCCTTGATCATTTGGCGAAAAAGCCGCGCACGAAACCGACAAAAAACACAGGAAATGGACGTCCGAGCGTTGGCCAGTCCATGGACGGAGCAGGAGTCTTGCCCTGCCTGTGGCTCGTCCCCACCTGAGCGCAGCTCTGGATCACCAGCTGGCGCCACCGCTCCTTTCGCAGCACGAGGGTAATCCTCTTCCTGTTCTTGCCGCACGCCTAAGCCAGACGGCACATTCTGATCATCTCCATCTTCTCTTCCACGCTGTGTGGGTCGAGCCATTCCCAGATGTCTAGGATGCTCGTGGCGCTCGTGCCTCCCACCTCGCTGCCCGTGTCCTTCAACGCCTCGATCAGCCCCGCGGGCGCCCAGACGTATGGCACTCCGTGAAGATGTCCTGATTCCCATCCTTCTTCACCGCCGTCAAGTAGTTGCGCGTCTGCTCTGAGACCTTCGTCGCTTCGGGTCCGTCGGCAGGGCAGAGGAAGGTGTCGAACAGGCACCCGCCGAGCTCGCGCATTCCCTGTGAGCACTTCAGGAGCTGCTTCTCCATCACGAGCAGGAACCGACGATGCCCTTTGTCGCCGACGCCCTTGAGTCGTTTGTCCTTGCTGCCTCCCTCGTCCTCGGTGCGGGGCTTCACGCGGCGGCCTGCGTCATCCTCTCCAGCAGCTCCTTCTGCTGCCTTGAGGGTGGCGGGCATGGCGCTCCACAAGCCGCGGAGCAGGGCGGGGCAAGTGTTCTTCACGAGCGTGTGTGTAGCAGTTGGAAGGTTCGCGAACTCGAGCCCACACAGTCTTTGCAAATAATCTCCGGCGGTGCGTCCAACTCCCATTCTTAATGGCCCCCCTGAGGCCGGCAGCGCCCGAGACTCCACGACGCTTGAACACGTTGCTTCGCGATGTCTTGTGAGGCAAGCACGCCCCCACAGTTCACAGTCTGGCTTGTGAGCACGCCGCACCTAAGAGGGCACAGAGCGCCACGACCCCCACCGCGAGCCTGCGCCACGTGCTTCATCAGCTTTTTTCCGCGAGCCGAAGCACAGGCCGCGCACGACGCCCTGCACGTCCAGCAAGTCGCATACGCACTCGCCCTGGGCCTCTTCCGTCATTCGAGCCCTGGGCGCCAGCTTCTCCCGCAGCCGATCCTCCTCCTCCTCCTCCTCCTCCTCCTTTTCCTCCTCCTCCTCCTCTTCCTCCTCCTCCTCCTTTTCCTCCTCCTCCTCTTCTCCATCCTCCTCCTTTTCTATCCCGGGGGCCTGGGCCGCCCCCCCCCGCCCCCCCGCGAGACGCGGCGCGGTGCGATCGCGAGGCCGCCCGCGCGCCCTCAGCAGCGACACCTCGGGTAGCTTCACTACCTAAGCCCCTATCCCTCCTCCTCCATACTCCTCCTCCTACTCCTCCCCTCCCTCCTCCTCATCCTTCCTCCCACTCCATCCTCCTCACCCTCTCTCCTCCATCACCTCCTCCTCCTCTCCTCCCTCCTCCTCCAAGTTCGGGGGGGTCTGGGCACGCCCCCCTCCTCCCTCCTCCCCCCTTCCGCAACTTGACAACTCCTGCCGCGCGCGACCGACGACCGCCCAAACCCCTCGAAGGAGTCCTCGGTGCCGCATGGTGCCCTCCAGCAGGCACGAGATCCACGCGCGAAGGGGCCCGGCGAAGGAGCTCGTGGGCACCGTCGGCTTCACGCCCGCGTCGATGGCAGACGGGGCGCCCTCCTCCTCCTCCTCCTCCTCCTCCTCCTCCTCCTCCTCCCCTTCCCCCTCCCCCTCCTCCTCCTCCTCCTCCTCCTCCTCCTCCTCCTCCTCCTCCTCCTCCTCCTCCTCCTCCAGATGGCCCCACACAGCGGCGATCACCTGCCGAGGCGCAAAAGGATGTCGCACCATGTCTTGTGGCCAGCGCGCGCGTTGTATCGCCAGAGACGCACGTGGCCGGCGAGAACCTCGGCGTGCTCGTCGTGTCCCATGTGCGCCCCGCCTTCGGGAGCCCTCAACTTCTCGCAGGTCTGCACGCCCAGGCGGTGGAGCTCAGACTCGGAGAGGGAATAAGTGCACATGCCAGAGAGAGCAGCCCCACCACCTTGCCAATCAATTGTTGTCGTCGTAGCTGGTGAGGGTTCCTCGCGAACCAGAACCTGCCCATGTCAAGCCAGCCCTTCTGCAGCGCGTCGATGCGATAGCCAACCTCAACATGCGCGTTGTCGTTCCAAACGCAAAGCCCGCCCAGGTGACGAGCACGTGGGAGGATGCGGCCAGAACCATTCGCCAGCTGAGCCTTGAACGTGCGGTTCTCAGTCGGCTTGAGCACCGTGGCCAGCTCGCGTTTCTTCATGTTCTGCCCGAAGGCCCCCTTCTCGAGCTCTTTGATCAGGATGGTCTGGCTCTCGTCGGTGATCGCGTGAGCGTCCGACGCCAGGCTAGTCAGCACAACGCGCCTCTTCTTCAAGTCGTCGGCGAACTGCACCACCGCGCGCGGCGCAGGCGACTCCAGGATGGGGGTCTTGAACAAGAGCAGGTCGTCCTGAGCAGCACATTGAGCACGCCATCGTTTCGCGGGTCCTCCTGGGAGCCACCGCGAACTCCTTCGGGGCCTCGCCCACGAGACCGCCACGGCCGAGGGCGAGGTGCGACGCCCCGCCGCGCGCCTCGATCTCCACGACGCG